TAAAAAAGTTTATGATTCTATTGCCGAGCTTTATCTTGAAACTAAAAAGGAACCGCACCGGATAGCGGTCGAACAATATACTTTTTTCGATTGCATGCTTTTGAAAAACGAGCACAATCTAGGTAAAAACGCTAGAATTCTTGATTTGGCTTGCGGTGATGGTCACTATACTCGCAAGCTTCGTAAGCTGTTTCCCGAATGTGCGTATCTGTGTGGACTTGATATCAGTTCGAGAATGATTGACATTGCCAAGACTTGTGAAAATGAAAACAAACTTGGAATTCATTACATTTGTGCTGACGGAAAGGCTCGTTCTGCTTTCGAGCAGCCTTATAATATTATTACAGCTGCTTTCTACTTGAACTATGCTCGGACATATAATGAACTTCGAGCTATGATTAAAGGTATCTACGATAACCTCAAAGATGCTGGAACATTCTATTCGATTACTGATAATGTTTGCAGTACGATAGAAGCATTTAACTGTTCGATGCACAAGAAATATGGTTTCTACCGTGAATTGACCGAATCGATTCTTCAGGAAGGTGCCACCATCAAGAACACAAATTATCTGGATCCAGATAAGGCGTCGTCTTGTGTATTCTACTACTACTATTTTTCTCCTTCGACGTACGAAGAGCTTTTCAAGGAATGTGGCTTCTCATCATTCGAATGGGTACCAGTTCAGTGTAATCCCGAGATTGATAATATTACTTTTTTCGATGACTTCATTCGTTTACCTCCTATTATTGGGATCATTGCAAAAAAATAAAAGATAAGAGCGCATAAGAGGAAGAATCGATCATTTTCAAGAGTTCAAAAAAAAGCATGTACATCTTGGGACTGTGGTTGTGAGCATGGGTTTTATATCTATCACAGATCCACACTCACACCCTCAAGATAATTCAAAATATGATTCCAATACGTTTTTATTTTATAAACAGAATACAACAAAGAATATATATATAGACACATCGTTATAAATATCGATAGTTCTTTTATTCTTGATATACTACTTTTTTTGATCAAATCGATTCTATATGTTCATTCAATTGTTTACTAAACTCATCATTTTTGCAATGAGTTCTCCATTTATTTTAATAAGTTCGCTATTTTTTTTCACCAGTGCTGCATTCTGCTTAATAAGTTTACCATTTCTTTTATGAATTTTGCCAGTTTTCTTCAAAATTTCATTATTTTTTTTCTTCAGTACTTGATTTGTTTTTATAAATTCCCTAATTTTCTTAATATTTTCTTGATTCCTCACGATAATCACCTGATTTGTTTCGATAGTTTCACTATTATTTTTTATAATTGTTTTATTATAATTTAATATTCCACTAATTTCGATCCACATATCTGTTAACGACGGCTGAATAGTATCATCATTCTAAACAGACAATATTTTTCCTATAAAATCAGTGATTTAAATAAGAACAAAATCGACAGTTTTTTTTCAATCCAAAGCATTAATCCTTGTTTAATCAGACTTACGGTATTCAATTGTGAAGAACATTTGTTGAAACACATGATAGTTATTTTTCAAATGATTGAGATTCATTTCTTTTCATTGATATTTATATTATATAGGTGTTCGTATATCGATGACAACGACCTCTCCTTTGTAATTAGCAAACAAAGTCCGACCAGTCTGCTTCGTCTTGTCGCTGTTGTTTATTAGATGCAAAGTCAAGCATTTCCGTCATAACCTCTTTTGACATTCTTTGTTTCTTCTCGGTCGTGTCATTCATATTGGACGAATCGAATAGGATATCGTTTTTAATTACATATGTTTTCATTCATCAACTTTGAATGTTGCGTTGAAGATTTTGTAGGTTATATCAAGATGAATAATTTTATTCAAATAATGTATTGCATCAATGGATATGAAAGTTTTGTTTTTTTCTACAGAAAGTATTTGAAAACATGAATCAGATATATATTATACATACAAAATAAAAAGGATAAACCTTCAAGCAGATAAGTTTCTTAAGATTTCTTCTCATTTTTTAGCATCATTACCATCGTCAGTTTCTTTTTCTTTTTATCTTTTGTTCTTGTACAAATTTGTGTACACTAATACGTGAAACCTATAAATTTGACTTATCTTTTGTAAATCTATTCTGTAAAAGAATAGCATAAATAATCTCTGATGTTGAAACTATTGTAACAATAGATAATGATTCATGTTTTACACCGCAATCTTCGCAGATTACTCTAAATGTTTGTAATAGACTAATTAATGTAGCTAACAAATATTTCCACTGAAAGATCATCAATGTAAAGAATGTTAGACCGTTCAGTAAAAAATGGGTGTAAGTATGAGATAAAAATGACACCCACACTCACCCACACTTCCATCGTACCTGAGTGATTGTTGAACACTCAAAAAAGCCAACAACACATAAATATAGCCCATCGCTCCCTCTCATCCCTGATAATCATATTAATGAATCGCAAAAAATCAAGGTTAACAAAAGTTTATGCTTACAAAAAAAACCTAAATACGAAAGATTAAACAAATTTTGTTTTTAAACAATGTATCATGCATAACGACATTTGCTTAGTATTGAATCATAGTGAATAATTATTTAAATTCATGGGCAAAAATGAGGATGTGGATGAACGTAAATGAGTATGGGTGGATGCGGGCACGAGTTTTATATCCATCACAGGTCCACACCCACGCCGACCCATACACATACACACCTCACCCTCACCCACGTCCCCCAGATCATTAAATCACCTGAAGAGACAAAAACTTAATCGAAACGCTTCGTAGTCTTTTATTTAAAAATCACTCATACCAACACCCTCACATACTCAAAAAAAACTTTCCTCCTGTTTTCAAATAAATCGAGGCTAAGCATATAATAGTTTATTATTCAGTCTCAATGTTCCTTCCAGCACAAGAAATTATCAAGAAATGGTGCAGGAGACACACTGTCGAACATATGCACACATGACATTTGTGGTAATGTACCGCAGTAGGACCAAACCAGCTCAACATTGGATGTAACAGGTAGACAGACAGCATTATCTTGCCACCACCATACTTGAGGATCACGAGGTTCTACTGTAGCTGTGCATTTCAAGTTGGGTCGACATTCATCACGGTGGCAACGCCAAACGAGTCCAATATCTTTGTTTGTGCATAAATAATTGTTCGACCATCCTGGTGTTAACTCGCCCATTTTTGCGCACCACCATCCATTGATATGGGAGTTCGGATTAAAACGAAATTCAAGCGGGTCCAGAACATTCTTAGAAACGAAGTCTATTGAATTATTACCCATCAACCGCGCATCATAAGTTCCATGACAGATCTTGTCGATGGTCGGTGAAGATAGTACATCGTTAAGAGTACAGAAGAGAATAGCACCAAGAAGTACAAAAGTGACCATATTCATTCACCTGAAATCGGCACTGTTTCGAATAAAAACATTTATTTAGTTACCTTCTTTTATATACGAAAATATAGGAAGTAGTAAAGCAATCAATATTGATAAGAAAAAATGCGATAATACTAGGGGGTGTCATTTCTCTTTACTTTATGAATAAAGATAAAGAAATAAAGTAAATCTTTATATTTATAGAAGAAAGATAAAGATAATCTTTATTCACAGAAATAAAGCAAAAATAAAAGATAAAAATACATTTTTTCATCCAATAAGTACATATGCAGATACCCTGTATACCAACAGAATACGTTTATTAATGCTCTTTCTTATCACTATCATCATTTCCATAAACCATATTATCAAAAAAAGGATCACACAAGAAACGATATATACGAAAAATGCTATTCTTTGTTATAGTTAACTACATGATATCGTATTTTTTTGTGAGTTAGTCTAGGAAAATAAAAAAGTACGTTTCGATAGAAAAAGAATCTTTATTTTTTCTTTTATCTATATTTTCGAAAATAAAGAAAAAATTTATATTTATTTTATAAAGATAAAGTAAATCTTTATCTTTATCAATAAAGTAAAGATAAAGTGACACCCCTGGTATTATCGCATTTTTTCTTATCAATATTGATTGCTTTACTACTTCCCATATTTTCGTATATAAAAGAAGGTAACTAAATAAATGTTTTTATTCGAAACAGTGCCGATTTCAGATGAATATGGTCACTTTTGTACTTCTTGGTGCTATTCTCTTCTGTACTCTTAGCGATGTACTATCTTCACCGAATATCGACAAGATTTATCATGGACCGTATGTTGCGCGTTTGATGGGTAATAATTCAATAGACTTCGTTTCTAAGAATGTTCTGGGCCCACTTGAATTTCGTTTTAATCCGAACTCCCATATCAATGGATGGTGGTGTGTAAAAATGGACGAAATAACACCAGGATGGTCGAACAATTATTTATGCACAAACAAAGATATCGGCCTTGTTTGGCGTGCTCATCGTGACCAATGTCAACCCAACTTGAAGTGCACAGCTACAGTAGAACCACTTGATCCCCAAGTATGGTGGTGGCAGGATAATGCTCTCTGTCTACCGGTTACATCCAATGTTGAGCTGGTTTGGTCCTATTGCGGTACATTACCACAAATGTCATGCGTGCATATGTTCGACAGTGTGTCTCCTGCACCATTTCTTGATAATTACCTGTGCTGGAAGGAATACTAAGACTGAATAATAAACTATTATATGCTTAGCCTTGATTTATCTGAAAACAAAAGGAAGGTTTTTTTTGAGTATGTGAGGGTGTTGGTATGAGTGATTTTTTAATAAAAGACTACGAAGCGTTTTGATTAAGTTTTTGTCTCATCAGGTGATTCAATATTGTTGAGGGTGTGAGTGTGGGGTATGTGTATACGTGTGTGGGTCGGTATAGATGTGAGGTGTGAGCGTGGGTAGCTGTGGTTGTGCGTATCTCTCAGTATCCTGCGGGAACGACTTTTTCCCTGCTGTTCCCTTTCCCATTCCATCTTGAGGTTGTGGGTGTTGGTGTGGACGTGAGTGTAGATATGAGAGGAGTACAACATCCACACTTACACCCACCCTCAAGATGCAATTCCATTGAGAATAGGTGGAGCAAAAAAATCGATTGGAATCAAAAACGTCACGCAGAGAGTTCGATGAATATGTTATACAATGATGATGATGAACAGATTGATCTCAGAAGAACTATGGCTTTTGTTCTTTTGAAGAAAACGAAAATCGTTTTTCGTTTTGCTTATCATATTTTGATTCTAAAGCAATTAGTTGTTCTTCTATAACGATAATGAGAGAAGTCGAGTAGAAGACAATATAAGATACAAGACAAAAAAAGAAAGAAAACTTAGTGATAGTCTGGTTGGCGAAACGTTACGGAATGTATTCATGTTATAAATAGAAGCGGAATGACTCTGGTCATAGATCGTACAGAATGTTCTCTATATCAAAAACAAATCAACCATATTTTGATATGTTTTTGTTTGACATGTAAAATTTGTTGGTTAGCATTCATGCTAAACTCTTCTTGTCAAGAATACTTACATCAATTTAGAAAATAAATGTCAACTGACTATATGTTGTCATCGATGAGATCACAAATTTGATATTTTTTATAAATAATTTTATTTTAAGTTTTTCTAATCATGGTATGTCATATACTGTTTTTTTCGAAACTTTATGACTAACTAACTAACTAACGAATGCATACAAACAATCACATCAATCATTTTTACAAATCATTTTGTAGATCTAAAAGTAATTATTCAGATCGGGACGATTGTGTATATACATGTATATAAATTTACTGAATAATGTTTCAGTCTATTTGCCTTGAAATTTTAGAGAAATATGATATTTACAATGAATAAAAAATTTCTACATGTCGATAGAGAAGTAGAACGATCATGAATTACCCCAATTATTAATAAATTCATCGTTTATACAATTCGGAGTTTTATCATTCTTTCTATATATAGAAATAATCCAAATCTTGAAATTTTAAATAAATTATATTCACAAAAACAGGAACGATGTTCATTCAAGTATTATGATAAGAAAACGCAACCATCGATTACTTTATCTACTTTCAAAATGACAAAAAACAATATTGATTTAATCTTCCAACTTTTATTGAAAGAAACTTATTTTCATAGTGAAAATCTCTATATTTAATTTTTAAAAACGAATTATATTTATCCAACTTATTCATATTCTTTGTATTTATATGAAAACGAAATTGTCAAAACATAGTTTTGGCAGGCTTAATGCAATCTTCTATTTGTACGAACAGACGTTAATAAATTCTTTCGCATATCAACCTATGTAAAATTCTGCAGAAAAATTAGAATTCTCAGTACAATTTTATTTTTCATATACATATAAATGTATTCAAGTCTATCGATTGAATTGAAATTGTGGATGAATATTAGAATTCTAGTCGAAATTCTGCTGAATAAATAGAAGTATTAGCATGATTTTATTTCTTCGTAATTGATGGACTGTTTAATAAAGTAATAAATGTACAAAATTCTCAATGCTGCTAGGTAAAAACTTTGCAGGCCCTCCTTAATGATGATATATCAATATTATTACTTTCATTTTTTTCTTTGTTACCAAGCCATCGACGTCGTGATGATGGTAGAAGAAATAAAATAAAAAAATAACGTAACTGTAATTAAAAGAAGAATACAAAATGCAGCTACAATTGTATTTGTTAATATAAGACTTTCAGATGTATCTCGATTAATCATATTAAAATTATATAATTTATCAAAATAGAATAGTTATTTAAATATATATACAGAATATTTATCCTGTGAACTATTCGAATATTTTTAATATAATTTAATCGATCTATCGAAGATCTTTAGTTATAACTTTTTTTTACATTATTTCGATGATAGTATCGATTTGTAATGTTCAAAAAATTAGGATTAATTTATATGTAAGTATCATTATGATGAATATTTACACAAAGAACGATATATAAAAACGAGAAGGTATAGTTTATTTTTATAAAAATATCTTTCTATCAATATTTTGTAATAGAATATTATATATTTTAAAGATGAAAAATGAAACTGAGTAGCATAAAATCATTATAGTTATTTTATTGAAATATACAATAATAAAGAACAACATGAGTATATATATGTTTATTAGATGTGGAACTGCATCACATCTTCAATCTGATAAAACTTGTATAAAGTAATCACAGTTATATTTGTCAATGAACATAACAACACTTCACAATATCTTGTCAACTCAAATTTTTCGGCAATTTGGCAATTTAAATATTTGTCTGTCAGTTAACTATACAATCATAATAAATTTATATTTATATTCATAAAATAAAAAAAACTTGATATTTAACTAATCATTAAAAAGAGAACAAAGAAACCACTGTACTTTTATTCTTTGTAACGATACTAACATAATCTTCTTTTTTTTCAGTATATTTATTCATATGATAATTTCAAAATATTTGATGGCATTCTCAAACAAAACTACTCCTACTGGTTTTCTTCTGATGAATTAATCTCTCTATTTTCTTCATACTTGTTCAATTCTCTTTTCTTTCATATTTTGATTTATCTTCAACTTATCTTTCGCTGATCTTCTTCGATATGTAGCATCTCATGAAATTGTATCATTCATTTCTTCTTACTTACATGTCTTAAATTCCTATACAGATAAGACAATACTTAATTAGATCTTGACAAAAACTATACCCATTACTTTAACAGCATTTTCTTTCCATGTAAAACAATGAAAAAATATCAGACATTGTTTCTTTTATTATTAATAATTTATTACCATTTGAGTTACTCAAATTTAAAGTTTCCAACATAGTTACAAGCATTTTAGTGAAATTATATTCATTAAATGATTACTTATTGTTAGAAAAGAAAAATTATTTCATCATCTTTTTTTTTGTGTCAACAATAAGATACTCACAGAATGGGTAACAATAAATTCTTACTACAGTAGTATCTTACTTATCTCAGACTCGTTTTATCATTCAAAATTTTGTCTAAAAGATCGAAATGAAATTAGCATACACAACAATGTTCATAAAAAAAACGGTTGTTATGCGTTAATAATATAATTTATCAAAAGTAAAACAGAAAATACACACCATTGTTTGTGTTCTCATCATACAGATTTTAGTTTCTAAAAAACGATCTGACAATTATTTAATTGGACATACATCAATGATAGATTATCATTTAGCATCTCTGAATCAATACATATATCCCAAAATATTGATTGAAATACACAGTACTTATGAGTTTACATGACTTTAAATAATTACCATTTGAATAATCTATTTTTTGACTTCCAGTGAAGGACAACATTTCAATTACATTACAAGATGCTTTGTTGATGAACTTATTGTTCAAACCAAGAATAAAACTGTTTGTTGTATCTATAGTTTCTTGTTTTCCTGTCAGTTAGAAAAAAGAAACGTGTCTAGGAAACAATACGTTGGAATTTTTTTTTAAATTTGTTCAAGAAATAACTGGAAAACATGGTCATCTCCACCAATCAGAAAAAGTTTTTCTGACAAAAAAATACTGAAACTATTTTTTTCTCTATTTTTAAAAAAATACTCTCTGGTGATCTGTATAAAATGAGTAGCTCTTTACATTCTTGACTATTAGTTTGAAAGAATACATCCATTTCAGACAATAACATTTATTCATGTAATATTTGAACGCAATAATTATTTTAGAATCTATTATATCTTATCCAAACTTCGATTTATAAAATAATCAAAGGTAAAGTTTTACTATATAGATAACGTTATAAACTATTCTACATTTATCGTTTAGATACAATATATATTTTATTGCTATAATACGATTTATAGGTTTTGTTTAGAAATGCTAAAAAAATAGTCGCTATTTCTAGCATATTAATATTCATCTCATTATAATTTCTCCATCTTCTAGTTACATATATATATATAGATCTTAATACTATTCTTGATTATCTATAAATATGGATAAATGTGAATTTGATTCGATAAAATATAAATGTAATATTTTCATTCTTATTGTCATATATTCACACTAGCCTTTTAAACTATTCCATAGATGCTATCACATCATCATTCCTACATATATACTTTACAGATAGCTATACGAGTTCATGCTGAAAATGATATACAAAGTAATTACAAACTTTCATACATCACATATATTCTCTTTCTCGTAGAGAGTAAGCTCGCAAGAATAAATGGTTTATTTACTTGCTTATGTATCCGCACTTCACCGATTACTCGGAAAACTAGGCGAAGATATAAAATAAATTCTTTTTATAAGGGTTAATCAGAGAGTAACCGGGATCAGGCAACTCGAATCTAGTGTCAATTTCTCCAAATTGTTTTAACGAACAATTTTTTACCCAAAGGAGCCTCTTACAAAACTTTTTTTTATACAAATTGACTTAAGGCTAGTGTCCTGCGGGAACGACATTTTTCCCTGTTTTCCCCTTTTCCCATTCCCATGGAAATGGGAATGGGAATTCCCATTTACATTTAGGGAATGGGAACGTGGGAATGGGAACGGAGCTAAAAGCTCACGTTCCCTAAACTGTGACTACCTTTTTTCAATACATAAAAATATTTCTATCTAACAACTGCTTATTTTTAATAATTTTTCTTATTCATATATAATTAACAAAAA